AAAAACTTCCCAAGTCCAAGACAGAGTTAATGATCTTGACCGCAATGATCTAGTTCTCATCCACTGTTCCCCTTCTTTGTGCGGTACCACTATCTATCCAATCACGAAAACCAGAAACTCGAGAAATCTTTGACCTCTTTTCCTCATCCTCTGTATCTATCTGTGTATCTCATGGATTTTACCTCCTGCAGTCTCAAGTCTGTTTTCTTCTCTGAACCCATTTCTGTCATCCTCATCCAAGAATTTTCATTTCTCACATGGGCTCCAAGAGTTCAGGCATCAGCGCGTGTCTCTTTCTAAATCATTCCCCTTGTCACAGCCGGAAGGATACTTTCCATCTCCACCTCACTAACATAAAGCCTTAAAATGACTTCTCTAAATTATTAAGATAAAGCAAAAAATCTTAAAAACGGGCTGTCAGGATCTGCTCTGAAAGTCTCCAGCCTCACTTCCTTCCATGTTCTTCCTCACTCTCTGTGTTCTAACTAGGTTGGCTTGCTTTGGTCCTTTCCATTTATCTCAATCTTTCCTGCCTCAGGGCTTTTGCTCCCCACTCACCTTTGCCTGATTAGTAGCCTACATATTAATGGCCTACAGAGCTTCCAGATAGTAGCTCAGTATCAAGTTTACAGGGAACCCTCACACCATGTCTCTTCCTCCAGGGCACTTTCCACAATGACAAGTTTACATTGCATTCTTTTGATTGCTATCTGTCTCCTCCAAACCTTTAAGCTCTGTGAAGTCTGAGAGACTCACCCAACAGATAGTGCCAGGCACAGTGCCAGCACAACACAGCACCCAGCACAGCGCCAAGCACAGAGGAGTCCCTTAGTAAATATTTGTTGAATGACTAAATGAAAGAAAGAAGGCACCATGCTGGGTTCAGGACTTCCCAGAAAGCAATTCACAGATGAGGGGTGGAAGGGACAAGCAGTTGAGAGGATGAGTAAACACCCCGAGGGTGTAAAAATGTGATGAACAGGCAGCAGAGGAGCAGGCCCAGCATCCTACCCCCAGATGATGCTCAATCTAGGAGTCCGTTGACTGGTTTCTCAGCCCTCAGGGTCTCTAGTCCCTTGATGTTACTGATATGCAGTCACCACTGTGTCTACCGCCACAAACCCTACCAGGGCACTATCCTCAGGAACGGGCACACTCGGGGCCTATTCTGAGGCAGTGTTATTAAAGGCTCTGGTTAAAATCAGAGCATCATGTGCAGCACTTTAAGTCCAATGGGCTCCTGACGCCTTCCGGACAGTGATCTCATCATATCCTCAGATCAACCCCAAGAGGCAGCAAAGGGTAATGATTATTTTCTCCCCACTGTACAGTTGGGGAGACTGAGGTCAGTAGAGATCACTTTTCTTGGCCAAAGAGTGAGAACAGCTCAGGAACAGAACTTGGAGAGAACCCAAGGCCCTCTCTGCAGGGTCCACCCTCCAAACAATTGGCAGAGGAGGAGTCCACAGGCCGCGCACAGGCTGCCGCAGGAGCCTGCAGGCTTGTTTACTTTGGTGCAGAAGGACATTTCATCACCTCTTGGAACCACAGAATGTTAAAACAGATGGGCCCTGACAGATCATCTGATTCAACACCCTTGTTTTATGAAGGAGGAAACTGAGGCCAGAGATATGAATCTCCTTTCTCCTCCCTTTCCTTTCCCTGCCCTACTGATAGTAAGTGGTGGGGCAGAGACTGCCAGCTGTTTACCCAAATCCCTTCTCCCCTTCTAGCCTGTATGGCTAGACTATATTTTCCAGACTCCTTTGCAGTTTGGTGAGCCTTGTGACTATGTTCTCTCTAGTGGGATATAAGAGGAAGTGAAGCCTGCCCCATCCAAACCTCCCATCCTCACATCTTCATGTTCTTTTTCACCTCTGGCTGATTGGGATGTCAATTCCAAGGGCAACTTTGGAAGCTATGCATTAGAGAATGGCAGAGATGCCACAGTGTGGAGCCTGAAAAACAAGTCGGGGAGAGCCACCCCCCTGACCTGAACATCAGTGCCTCAGTCTGTTAAGTGAACGGAGAGAATAAAATATCTGCCACATAAAGCTGCTGCCTTTGGGGAACCTCTGTTACTGCAGCCTAGCCAAAAGCTAATCCAGCTCCTACAAGTACAGCAGGAAAGGCCCCTGCAAAAGCTCTGACTATATACAGTACTGGAGACACCAGGCTCACTGCTGATTTCACAGTCAACCACTCTTGAGTGGCCCCACTCCCACCCTTAGAGAGGTTAGGAATGTCTGACTCTTAACCTACTCAGTCCAGGAGTTTGGTCTGAACGGGTTTCCAACCTGTTTAATTCTAGATCTGGCATGGACCTAGGAATGTCATCTGATTTATCTCCTTGGCTCCAGACAGGCCCCTTCTAAGCCATCTGAGATGACCAAAAATCTTGTCTGGATTTTTACATCCCTAGGAAGGAAACACTCCAAATTCCTTAGACACCTGTTTTATACTTCCTTGCTACTGTGACAGAAGTTTTGTTTTTTTTTTTTTTTAACTGAACACTAAAATAGCAGAGCTGGAGCAGTCTTAGCAATCATCAGGACAATCTTTGTTTCACAGATGAGGAAACAGGCCCAGATCATACAAATAGTGGTGAAGTCAGGACAGAAGGCAAGGGCCCTAAAACCAATATGACTACTCTCTCCAGGGTTCTCTTTGCCTGCAGCTCTCTCTTGCTCTTTTCTCTTTTTCTGTCCTGGGAGGAGATGAAATTATGCTGAGATCCATCTTCACTGTGATCAGTCTTTCTAAGTTCTCCTGTGTTTCCCACTCTGCCCCTCACCCACAGTTTAAGCCTTACCCAGCTGACCTGAGATAGGTCCTTCTCCTAGTAAGTGGAGAGAAGATCAGAGATGGTGAATCTGTGCCTAAAGGGGAGGCATGTGTGACAGGTGCATGTTTGGTCCTCAGGACTTGATGGTGAAGACATCTCTGAATCCACACCAGAAGCCTGAGAGTTGTTAAGTCCTTACATGTCACTGGTTGCCCAGGAGGGCAAATGGGTTATGTGGAATTCTCCGAGGAAGGGAGGGCATGACAGTGACCAGAACCTCTGAACCTCACAGTATCTTGGCGTGTTGGGGTTTGTCTGGCTGCCTCTGGGCAACTGGTTATATCAGAACTCTGGGCAGCCTCTTCTCAGTTACTATGAGAGAAGGATCCAAGAAGTTGAACTGGGGCCAGGAGGGCAAACCAAGTTTCCTACAGGGGTGTGATGGTATGACACTTTCTTGGAAAGGCCTGGTAATTCCATGCGAGAGCCCTGGAAAGCTGGGTTTGTTTGGGGGTTCTTTAAAAACAAAACAAAATAAAACCAAGTCGTTAACTTCTCACTCCACAATTTAAAGTGAGCTTGTATATACAGAGCATCCTTTATGTTTTCTACCAAGTGACTCACTTGGACTGAACCACCAAAGTGGGTCTCGGTCCATCTGCAGCTGTCCTGGACACCATGATCTGCTCGTTACCCTCAAGATGGGTCATGGGGCTCAGGGATGGCCACTGAGAGGCAGAGAACCAGGGTGGAGACAGGCCTGAAAGGGAAGTCCACAGTCACAGCTTCTCAAGCATCTGGTGGTCAGACAGGGTCCCCAGGAGAACTGACGAGACTCCCAAGGAGCTCCAGCATTCATTTCAGTTGAGACACTGTCTGGATTATTTCTAATTCAAAATTGTGGGACCAGAATTAATGATGCCACATGGTCATTCACAGATAAATCGCTTCATCTTTGGGTCTAGCTTCTGAATGTTGAGCAAATTATTCTCTCATTTTGAGCCTTTCTTTCTTCACCTAGAAATACAGAGCCTTAGTCTTAAAATTTTAGACATTTTATCATTTATTTACCAAGAAAGTCCGTTTACATGAAATCTTTGACTCTTTCCCCTGAAGGTATCCGTTTAAAATATAGGGATCCTTGTGCAATCTTCTATTTAATGCACGATCTACAGCCTTTTCCGGATAGAGTTTGCCCTAGGCATGTCTGAATTCACGGTTTTCTTTTCTCTGCAGCCTGTTTGGGTGTCCTGGCCGTGACATTTCTGCAGAACTCTGATGTGAGCCAAAGGCAGTGGTGGGGTGGGGATGGAATCCAGGCTTGAGAGGGCTCGGGGAGCTGGGTAGGATGACTCTCCAGTTGGCTGAAGGGTGAGGTGTTAAGGCTTGGCCACCGCCAACTCAGCCCCAGCCCCAGGGGCCTGGAGGAGAAGTGGTGCTGGGTGGTGGGGACACTTCAGATTAATAAGGGTGGGAACAGGGCCACAGGTTCCACTGCTCTGCATATCAAAGCACTTTGTAGGATCTAGTTAGTGCTAATCACATTACCCAGTACCTGCTTCTCACGGATTGATTGTGCATTTAAGGAGTTGGGAAATTCTGGTTCCGGATTTGGAAGACTCGGGTTTTCTAAATTTTATGCACATGGCAAGGCGATTCTAATTGGGGAAGGGAGGGCGTGTGTGCATATGTGTGTCTGTGTGTGCGTGTCTGTGTCTGTGTGTGCGCGCACGCCCAAGGCTGCCCTCTGCGAGGACCTCCCCCCGCGGTCCCAGGCCGGCGCTCGCGGCCCGGCCCCCGCCCCCTTCCTGCCCTCTCCCCGCCCCGGCCGGCCCGGCCGCGCTCGGTCGGTGATGTCAACCCGAGGAGGAGCCGCCCGCCCCGCGACCCGCCCGGGCTAATCAGCATGGAGCGGCGCCGAGGCCGCCTCCGCCGCGCCCGCCCGGCCCCCGGCCTCCCTCCCCCGGCTCCCCACAACTTTTGAGGCGGGAACCGCGCTCGCAGCCTCACTTCGCTCACTTCCCCGGCCCCGCGCGGCACCCGCCGCCCGCGTCCCTCGCACCCGCGGCCGCCCCGCGCCCGCCCCGCGCGCCGGGCATGTGAGCGCGGGCGGGCGCCGCCACCATGGCCTCGCCGCCGCTCCTGCTGCTGCTGCTGCTGCTGCTGCCGCCGCCGGCCGCCTCCGGGACGCGGGGCCAGCCGCCCTCCCCGGCAGGCGCGGGGCCGGCGTGGCCGACCGAGGCCAGTTCGCGTCTCAAGCTGCCGCCGTCGCCCACGCGGCCCTCGGAGCGCCGCGGGCCCGCATCCGTCGGCCACCGCCAGACCGCCCCTGCGCCGGGCGCCGCGAGGCGGCCGGGACCCTCGAGCCAGGCCCCCCGAGGTGAGAGCGTGGGTGAGTAAGAGCCGGGGACGAGCGACGCGCGAGCCTCCGGCTGGGGGCGTGGGCGCGCCCGGTGCCGCATCCCCCCCACCCAGGCCCGGGCGACGCTCACCTAGGTGGGGGCTCCGCTTGGCCGGGCGCGCTGGGACTCTGCGGGTGGACCCGGAGGGAGGGCAGCGAGCCAGGAAGAGTGGTTTCCTAGACGCTTTCGCGCGAGGCTGGACTGGGGGTGTGTGACCATCCTGTTGTCCCCCACCCCCTTGGAAGAAAACTTATCTCCCATGGTGGACCCCGGATCCTGTATACACCTACCTTAAAAATAAAAGAAAAAAATCCAAACCTCACAAAAAGCACTTCTCCCACTTCGGAGGTGATAACATCCGGCCAGCCCGTTCCCCAATTCCATTTTTTTTTTCCTATGGATGCAGAAATAGGCCTCTCGGTACAGAGCCTGACATTCAAATTTAAATAACTGATTTTTTTTTTTTAAGCGTTCTAGCCCTAAGGATATTTGTAAAAGACAAAGGATGTAGTTGGAAACCAAACGCTCCACTGGTTCTCTCTAAAGCCGAGAGATCCAGGGACTGTGTGGAGGTGGGGGGTTCCAAGGGGAAGCCCTGTATGGCAGAGGCCAACACAGGACTGGCCCCCAGCCTTTCCTCCCTTTTCTTTTCCTGATGAGCTGTGGCTCCATACACAGCCACCGCCTGCCCACTCAGAGAGGGATCTGCCTGCTCTCCTCCAGAGCTTTGTATCCAGTTCCTTCTTTGGGTCTGGAAGAAATGCTAAGGACCGAGTGGAATTCCAACCATAATACCATTGTGACCACTTTTGATCTCGGTCTCTCCATCTGTGAAAGGAAGGAATGACCCTTTCTCTTCCCAGCCTCCTGGTGATGATGGGACAAAATGAAAGTAAAAATAAGTGGAAAGTGCTTTGAACAAAGTCAGCAATGCGGTGGTGTTAAACTACTGCCTTCCCATGAGTGACACAAGGCATCTGTTCTCCTGGGTTGCCCAGAGAAGCTAGGTCACTTGGAACACTAGGTATTTTCTTCGAGTTTAGGTGAAGGCTAAAGACAGGTTTCATCTTCCTAGTGGATACTTCATTTAAGTCTCTCATATTACACAAACTTCCTGGGATAGGAATTAGCTTACTTCATTGCACCTAGGGATGCTTCCTCTAATTAAATAAGCAAAAAACTTAAAAAAAAAATCAGATCCTCAAGTAAAACCTCAATTTCACATTCATTAGTACTCTCATCATTGTAAATGCCTTGTCCTTGTGAGCTTCTCCATCATTGGCACAAGATCGAGAAACTGTAAAGGGAAGGGAGAGGGGAAAGAAGCTTCCAGAGACTTAAGAGACACACTCACTGTGACTCCAGCTTTAGGTGACTTACAGCACACATTGTTTTAAGTTCCACGGAAGGGAATCAAGAACATAAAAGAACATTTCCTGGTTTTCTCACACAAGGAGAGTAACCAAGAATACTGTGCAGAAACGTGTCAGTCCTCTAAGTGGAAAGTGGAGTATAGGAACTGAAAGCAGCTTTCTATGGCTGGAAGTCAGGCTTTCTTAGCTGTAGGGTCCGGTCTTGTTCATGGATGGGTGGGAGGGATGCTGACTTGCGAGGGACCTGAATGGATGAGACTGGTACAGAAGTCTCCTTCCTTCTCTTGCGGCTGAGAATCCTCACACATCACATAGAGCTCAGTGTTACAGGAGAGGGACAGTGGAGGCAGCTGGCTTCGGGGACTCAGCAGGTGAGAGCTGGGGCTGATCTCCCTTGCTGGTCAGGGATCCCTGCCACCGTAGATGATCCACACTTCCTCAAAGGCATGGCGGGTAACTCTGCTAGTCTTGACTTTGCAACCTTTCCAGTTGCAGAGATTCCTTTGGGGAGCTGAGAGCAAAGGAGGTTTCAGGTGCAGGTGGCTCTAGAGGCATGCACATGAAAGCCCCAGAGAGCACCTAGGCAGGAGCTGAGGGCATTCCAAATTTCTCTGACCTGAGAGGATCTTCCCTGTTCCTCCCACCCCTCCACAGAGACTACCCAAGGAGTGTCTATGCTTCAGTTGAGCTCAGGCTGGCTCTCAGGTGGAATGTAAGGAAGGTGAGAGTAGAAGAGAGGAAATTGATTACCTGTGGAAAACTAATAGAAGCTACTAATACAGCTGAAGATTCAGGCAGGACTTGTGCTTCTTTTCTGCTGGTGGCTCAATGTCACTTAGAGGGAAAAAAGAAACAATGAACAAGAAATTTGCATCAAGTGATGTTCAGTGAGTTTGAGTTTCCTAGTAACCGCTGAGATTTTCTTTGGCCCTTTTTTGATCGGCCACTGTATATCACAAGGTACAATCAGTTATTTCCAAGGCAGCCAAGTCTCAACGCTGGAAGGGCCTCTGGAGGCCCTGTGGTCCACACAGTATCCCATTTGGATGTCTGCCCTCTCTGCACCCCTGACAGATGGACAGCCAGTATCTGCACAGTGCTCTTGTGTTTGGGGAGATGCTTGCTGCTGCTGGTTATGAGCCCTGAGTCTTACAAATAAGGTGCTTTGTTGGATTGTTGGGGAAACTGCCTGTAGCCCATTATGTTGTGGGGATATTGGTGGTCAGTGCCTGGTCCTCGTGGCCTGGGCTTCCAAATACGGTGTCAACAGAGGGATCAGAGATGTCCTTTTCTTCCCTGGGGCCATTTTTAGCCCCTTTCCTCTTGGCAGAGTTTAAGGTTCTCGCTGTTGAGTAACTGGGCTTGCATTCTGTGGGCTGTTAGCCTGCCTTAGACCACAAGTCCCTGGCCGGCAGCTCTGCCCTGCTTCCCATTTGTGTGGCCTTTGTTAAACTTTTGCGCCCACCTGTCAAACCCGTGGGCTGTTCAGCTCAACTTGTTGCTGGTGTTTCAGCCAGCGGAGATTAGGATGCCAAGTCCTCGAGGTTTCCTTTTTCTTGCTTTTCTTTTTTTTCTAACAACTTGGGGTTTCCGAGCCACAGTTCTAAGTGGAGTGCTTAAGTTTATACACTGACTTTTGCAGTTCGTATGCCAGGTTTTAATTGTGAGATCCGCAAAGGAGAGTGGGGGTTGGGGGAGGAGGCTTAAGTCATAATGAAAATCAATGCAGAAGGAAAGAACTTTCCCACCCAAAGGGGAAATGACGCTGAGGAGCTGAGCAGCCAACCCAAGGAATAATAATCATAGAAAAATGCAGTTCCCTAGAGTAAAGGAAGCACAGTGAGCCCAGCCCCTTCTGGGCTGTTACATAGCTGTCCCCTGAGTGGCTGTAACTTTGCGGGCCAGCTGGTCACTCAGCTTTAGCTGGGGGGAGCCCTTACACGGTGCAGTGAGACCCAAGCTGGGCAGGAGGCAGCCCCCAGGGAAGAGGGAGGGGCTTCCCTCCAAGACCGTCCTGGCTGGGACTGGTGGTGGTGGTGGTGGGGATTCCTGAGCAGCCCCGTTGCTTTGATGGGGGGGTACCCCAAATAGAAGGAGAGGTGTGGGGAAAGGGACTCACCCTGGCCCGTGTATGTTTGAGAGCCACATCCTTTTAACCTCATGCGTGCAAATGCTAAACTGCTGTTTCCTGCCCCAGTGGTGTGGGCAGGGTGAGAATGAAAGGTGTTTGCTGCCCAGCTGGGCAGTTACTGCACCCCTGGGCCTGGAGCGGGGGCGGGGAGGAGCCCATGCCCTCCCAGTGACTCCCCTCTGCCTTCCAGCAGCCCTGCCCAGCTGGCTGAAAACGGCCTTCTCGGAACTGGCGTGTTGTCTCAGCCGCTCAGAAGGAAAGCAAAGCCCCTATGGCAGTCGCGGTTTCTGAGTCCTCTGTGTCTCCTTCAGTGGCTGCCCTCTGCCCCACCCACTTTTGTGTGAACAGAGGTTTTCAGCTGCAGTAAATGTCCCTCCCTTCAAGAATCCTGGGGAAGGAAGCAACAGGAAAGACAGTTTGGCTCCCTCTGACTTCTAGTCTTTGCGCACCTGTGCGGTGAGAACTTTCGCATTCCTCATCCTGTTTAATTCTCAAAATAACCCCCACGAGGGATATTATTACCCTTTTACAGTTGTGGAAACTGAAGTCTGGTGATGTTAGATAAGACATATCAAGGGAGGAGGAAGAATTTAAATCGATTTGACCAGATCCATTTGCTCTTTCCACAATTATCATGTAGCCTGAGTTTTCTTATCAGTAAAATGGGGTGAGGGTTGTCTCGATCACTAAGATCTTCTCCAGCGTATCATCCTTCTTCCTTGGTCCCTTGCTCTCACCCTTTTTTAGAGAATAGGGACTAGGATTGGGATGAGGAGATGGCAGGGATAATGGGGACAACCTGCAAAGTAGAGATTCTAATGAAAGAAGGTAGGATCATGAGGCTTTCTACACATATAAGATGGTATTTTATATACAGATTGTGAATTACACCCTGCCTATATGCCAATCCATAGGTTATCGAGGTAGTTACATTCGATAGTGACCAAACTGAAATGAATTGGTGATGTTCTGGGAACAAGTCTGTTACCTGGAGGCAGTGTTATGAATACCCATTCAGTGGGAGGAGACATCAAATGGTACCCCATTCAGAGGCTGTAAAATTGTTTATTTTTTCACATCTATGCCCTCTTCTACCCACTTACTGTGCATCTTGCTTACACCAAAACAAAGATGTCTCTGTCCTGTCTTCTCCCTCTTCTTTGTTGGAGTGTGGTATGTGACTGTGTGCGTCACATTTGATTGATCTGTAGATCAGAAAATATGTACAGAGCCCTTTCTCTGTGTGAGGAGCTACGGCAGGTCATAGGGAGGGTATGTGCCCCTGAGGTACATGTGGTCTTGTTGGAGTGCAAATCCCAATGTCTAAAAAGTGAAATGATGGTGCAGGAGTGCTTCACTGCTGACGCAGTGTCACAGGACAATCATACTGACCCTTAGGTATGGTGTGGATGGAGACAGGCTGCAACATGCAAAGGTGGAGAGACAGCTGATGCGGGCAGTCCAGGGAGACATGATAGAGAGAAGG